AACTACTACTACTACTACTACTACTACTACTACTACTACTACTACTACTACTACTACTACTACTACTACTACTACTACTACCACTACGTGCACTTTGCTGAATATTACTAATATTGCTCTTAATACCTTTTTTCAGAAATAAACAATACTTATGATCTGATATATACAAATGGAACTAATATTAACATATCCTAAAATATACACATGTCTATCCTTATTATATCAATTTCTGATATATTTTTGTCTCATATGCATGATAAAATGATGAATTAGATTGATTAAACATACAGAATCCACACAGTAGTTATAAAGCCCTTCTGTAAAAAAATAATGATTGCATTAATAATTATAATTAAAGTGATATTCATGGTGATAATGCTGATGACAATGATCTTCAAGAAATGAAAGTGATATAATGACAATAAAGAAATAAGGAAGGTAATAATGATAATGTTGAAATAGAGTAATGATGTTGATTATATTAATAAGAAATAAAAATGATACCGATCACAATTATAAAAGATGGAATACATACAAGAAAAGAGCCTATAAAATAAGCGAGAAAACGTAAACAAACAAATAACCGATACTTAAAAATCATCTTCATAAATCAAATATCATATGGAAATATTATTGCGTATTGAAAACATCGAATATAAATCAAAATTGAAAATCAAATGGAAATAAAAGTTCACAATTTGTTAACGGATATGTGTCTACTTATTGTATAAATTTATTTTTGGATTTAGTGAAGTATCGAACAAATACGTAAACAGATATATTTATGCCCGAATAACTGAACAGATAAATAGATAGAAAAAAATATATATAAAAACCTGAATAGATAAATTAATAAGAAGTAAATGCATGAATAAGTAAACAAAAAACTAAATAAGATATATAATACAAATACGTCTTTAAAAAATAAAATAAAATAAAATGAAAAACGAAAATAGTACAAAAAATATATATATACAGTTCAACTTTTATACATCTCCCCCCACTCCCCCCCCCCCCCCCCCCCTTGCCGCCACGTGTTCCGTCCGTGACAAGCCTCGGGGTATAATTTTCAAGCGTGCAGTGACCGTGACCTGATACGAAGAGGTCAAACAGCTCGTGACCTGAAATGTAGCTGAGTGATGCCTAATGCGCAGAACTTTAAAGATTAAGATTATTTAGAGAAACGTTTTTTATTTTTTTTTATTTATTTATTTATTTATTTTTTTTTAGTGGTAGGTATTTATAAAAAAGTGTGATCCACGAAGGAAGAAATGAGGATAATGATGATGATGATGTTGATTATGAGGAGGAAGGTGGTGTCGAATAGGAATGGTGATGATAAGGGAATTAATGGTGATAACAGGTATGGTAATGATACTGATAATAATGATAATAAAGATAATGATAATTCTAGTAAATATAATAATAATGATAATAAGATAATGATAATGATAAAGATAAAAACGATGCTAACAATGATAGTAACGATAACAGTAATAATGATAGCAATAATGATAATAATAACAGTGATGATAATAAGAATAACAATAAAAATATATGATACTGATGATAATTATGATCGTATCAATGTTATCATAATGATTCATAGTATTAATAACATTACAATAATGATGATAGTATTAATGTTATAATAATGATGATAGTGTGTTATGATAATTATGATCATGACAATGGTAACGATAGTAATAATGATCACAAAAACTACAATAAAACAACAAGAAGAAGAATAAAAATGATAACAACAGCGATAATGTTGATGATAATGCCCCCTCCCCCCCCACCCCCTTGCTCTCTCCTGCCTACCATGAGAGCTGCGATGGAGCTGTCCCTCTCAGTCAGTGCCTGTTTGGATGCTGCGAGCTCTGCCTTCACGTTCTTCATCTCCTCATCTCCCTGGGCCTGTCGAAGGAAGATGGGAAGAAGGGGGAGGAGAAGGAGAAGGGGAAGGGAGGAAGAGGGAGGAGGGAGGAGAGGGGAGGGAGGGAGGAAGGGAGGGAGGGAGAGATAAGGTGTTAATTGAAGGATTATATATAGGGATGATTTTTGTTTTTTTGTATGTGGGTTTGTTTCGTATTGTTTTGTTGTGTTTGTTTGGGTTTGTTTGGGTTTTCGTTGTATGTTGTGTCTTATTGTATTTTTTGTTTTCTTCTTACCTATCTTTGTCTGTCTAGCTCTCACCTGTCTGGTGTGATGATTCATTTATCAAGTATTTAAACTGTGTCTGTGTTATTAATTTGTATTTTTGTTGTTAGTTCTGCTTAATTTGTCTACACATACAGTCGCAACCGCCTTTCTGTCTGTGTCTATTCCAGCAAACATCTTTGCTTGTCTTTCTACCTTTTTAACTTTGTCTTTATACATGTTTATTTTTTTTTTTTTTTTGTGTGTTTTGTGTTTATTTTGCTTTGTCTCCTCACCCCCGCTTTAGCTTGTTGAGGCGTGTCTCTTTCGTTTGCTTCTGTCTGTATGTAAGTATGTATGTATGCATGTATGTATGTATGTATGTATGTATGTATGTATGTATGTATGTATGTATGTATGTATGTATGTATGTATGTATGTATGTATGTATGTATGTATGTATGTATGTATGTATGTATGTATGTATGTATGTATGTATGTATGTATGTATGTATGTATGTATGTATGTATGTATGTATGTATATATGTATGTATGTATGTATGTATGTATGTATGTAAGTATTCAATATATTTATGTATGTATTTATGTATGTATGTATGTGCATATATACATCCGTAGGATATGTAAGTGAGTAAGCCAGCAAGTAAATCCGTAAGTATTTACATGTGAATCAGTGTTAGTGAGTAAGTATATATATAGTCATGCATTTATCGTTCATCTTTTCCCTTTTTGTGAGGACGAGTTTTGCGGAAAACCTGCTCCGCGCAGATCGCTTAATATATATAAATATTCTTAATGCATTTGTAAGACATATTTCACGCTGATTATCCATAAAAATGTGTAGTTTAGTTGGATATTTTTCTTTGTTTTTTTTTTCCCCCAGAATAGAGATAGTGTTGATAATAGTTATTAGTTGTTGTAATTATCTCGAAGAAAAAGTTTAGAGAGTATTGGCAACGTTAATTGTACAAAGTGATGCGTACAACAATGATAATAAAGATGACAATTCCAATACTGTCCAATAATGAATCTAATTAAACATCGAAGGATAAACAGTATTTTATCAGGGCGTCTATTTCCCATAAATTCCTTTTTTTTCAACAGGTGCGGATACGTACAAAGGAAAAGCTCACCATCTCCTAAAGTACATTTTTTCGTTTGCTGTGGATACGTACAAGTGAAAAGCTCTGCTTCTCCTGAAACACCTATTTCATCACGTGTGGATACGTACAAGTGTTAAGCTCTACTTTCCCTCAAATACCCCTTTCCCCAGTCGCGGATATATACAAGAGAAAAGCTCTACTTCTCCCCCAAATACCCTTTTCATCAGCTGTGGATTCGTACAAGTGAAAAGCTCTACCTCACCTCAGATACCTTCTTTTTCCTCGGCTGCGGATACGTACAAGTGAAAAGCTCAATCTTCTCAAAACGCCCTTAAGCCTCCCTGCAGTCCATGCTTCCTCGACTCGAAGACATGCTCTCCTCCTCCTGCTCCTCCTCCTCCTCCTCCTCCACCCCCACCCCCCCCCCCTTACCTCGACGAGCGGCGGGGGGCGCATCGCCAAGGGAACCAACTTGGCGCAAGTGTAGGTGTCTGTCCTTTTCCCCGTGTACGAGAAATCCCTCAGGTTCCTGGTACAGACGTACGTGCCCTCGCCCACCCTCGAGTAAGGGGTCCTGGCGCCGGCCCTCTCCGCATAGGCCTCCCGTAGTCCCCGATTACCTCCAGCTGCGAGATCTTGGCGTAGGCTTGGTCCAGCGTCGCCTGCGTGCTCTCCAGGATGCCTCGAACCGCCGCCGCCTCCACTTCCGTCCGCTGCACTTGGGCCTGGGGGAGGAAGGGGGGGAGAGAGGGGTTAGTAAAGGGGTGGTGGGGGTGGATATGGGGGAAAGGAAGGGCTGGGGGTTGAATATGGGGGAAAGGAAAGGGGGGGGAGAGTAGGAGAAGGGTGAATTAAGGGGAGGGGGGAAGAGGGTTAGTAAAGGGGGGTGGGGGTGGATATGGGTGAATGGAGGGGCTGGGGGTTGAGTATGGGGGTGAATATGGTTAGTAAAGGGGTGATGGGGGAGGGTATAGGAGGGAAATGGGGTGGATATGGGGGGAAGGAAGGGGGGGAGAGGTAGGAGAAGGGTGAATTAAGGGGAGGGGGGGGAGAGGGTTAGTAAAGGGGTGGTGGGGGTGGATATGGGTGAATGGAGGGCCTGGGGGAGGAGGGGGGAGAGGGTTAGTAAAGGGGTTAGTGGTGGGGGAGGGTATAGGGGTGGGGTATATGGGGGAGGAAGGGGGATAGGAGAAGGGTGGGGGAGGGAGGGGAGAGGGGTTAGTAAAGGGTGTGGTGGGGTGGATATGGATGAATGGAGGGCTGGGGGTGAATATGGGGGTGAATATGGTTAGTAAAGGGGGATGGGGAGGGTATAGGGGGAAAGGGGTGGATATGGGGGAAGGAAGGGGGAGAGGTAGGAGAAAGGTGAATATAGGGGGGGGGGAGGAGACAGAGAGGGGTGATTAAAGGTAGGGAAGAAGGGGAGGGCGGAGAAGGTTGAATAAGAATAGAAGGGGGAATGGAGAGGGATGAATAAGAGGGGAGAAAGGAGGGGAATGGAGAGGGATGAATAAGAAGGAAGAAGGGAGGCGGAGAAGGACGAATAAGGGGAGAGGAGGGAGAGACGAGTGTATAAGAGGGGAAGGAAAGGGGTGAATGAGAAGGGTTACGGAAGAGGAAGAGAGGAAAAGTGAAAATGAGGCGGCGATGAGTGGAGCAGAATAAACCAAGGAGAGGAAAAGATAAGTAGCTAGATATGAATGAGGATAATTAGGCGAGAAATAAATTCGGGA